TTAATGAAAACAAGATGGACCTTATATACAGAAAGACTGTGGGAGAGATCTAGGAGTAGCCAAGTAGTCTGGGACATGGGGGGACTGTGAGGTAATAGAATGCCAGGGCCCTGGACCACACGGCCAAGGTAGAATGGAGACTAACTAGGATTAAGGGTGGGAAGTGGCTGGGGGTGGGGGAGGGGGAGACCATAGGGAGATAAGACAATGGAGGGCTAGGGTAGGTTAAGGGTATGACAGGATAAAACATCCTTAGCTCTGTTTGGATTCAGATAATTCAGTTTTCCAACCATGCAGTATCAAATCCATGTCATAGCCAGACTCAGGAGTGGGTAACACTCCTTTTCAAAGGAACATAATGAGGAAACTGAGCCAGGAGGATCCCATCTTAGACTAAGGCTAAAATTGTCCTCTCAGCTTTTCCGGATGCTGACTTCCCACCGGTATCACACTCTCTCTGAATAGCTTGTGACATTTCTCTTAGATGGTGGACTGTTGATTATTGATGGATTATTATGATCTATCAGGCAACTCAAAATAAAATCCTTTGAACTTTTACCTCAAACAGCAAGTTTCACTAATCATAGCTTAGGAAAAACTTTTCCAGGATTTACATCTCAAACTTAAATTTGTCCTGGTGTAAAAAGCCAATAGTTAGAGATTATTTCTACATACTTGCAAATTCTCAGCAAGACAAAACCCAAACAAGCTTTTTGGCAAGTTTACACATTAAAACAGTAGCCAACAATAGCCAAATTATTTTAGCAGTAACCAAATTATAAAAAGTTGCTTGACATAACTGATACAAAAAGTTCACCAGTTTGAAACTTGAAAGAAACCCATTACCAGTCAGGTGACTTCAGTTTTGTTAAGTGCAGCTCTAAATTACATTACACAGACATCTGAACACAACAGAGTTGCACTCTAAAATGCTAGAATCTTTAAAGGATCTGTATTTATGTATTTTTTAGGTCAAGGAAGTAATTATTAAACTCTTATTAAGTCATGCACTGTGCTAAGTGCTAGGAATACAAATACAAGCAAAAGACAGTTCTTGCCCTCAAGGAGGGCATTAACAGTTAAAACTACAACTTTAAAAGAGTGTGCTTCCCCAAGTTCAGAGGCAAGCTTCTTTACCTTGAGCAGGATGTGCTGAACTTGGGTCATGCTTCCAGGTAAAGGTTGCCCTAGGGCCCAAGGTTGTAGCTTCTACCCCTCTCTCCTCCTTCCTTTCCCCAGGTGGGGGAGGGTAAAATCAGAGGTGAGGGGGTGAGGGTGAAACTCTCTTCTATGAGAGGTGTTAACAGATACTCTTTTGACTCAAGGGAAGGGAGTGACCAGGTTGCACGGAGTTTTGAAGCACTCCTTAATGATCAATCACAAAACCTCCAGAATCTGCTAAGATGTTTTAGCTGTTCTAACTTTTTCCTGTAACCTCCATAAAGGAAGATTCAGGGGTGTAGAAGGAAGAGAGTAAGTAAGCCTAAGGGAAGCAAAAAGCAAATGTAGTTTTCCCAATTCCCTAGCACCAAGAGATTTGACGGAATTGGCATATGCTTCCAGATAGGGTGTCCATCCTTGTCCTCTATGCTGCGGAAGGTGTGCCCAGGTCCATGGCCTCGAACTGAACCAGTGGACTGAGAGCCTGAGAGTGTCAGGCCAAGTGCAAGACAGTCTTGTAACTGTCTGTCCGAAAAGCTCCTCCAAGCTTTCCCTAGGTGCTTGGAGAGCAACCCCAACCACAAAGCAAGAAAGATGGGGGGAGTCTTACATACCTTCCAGTCTTGGCTGGAGAAGAACTTGGGGTTAGGCAGGTTCCCCATATAGGCCACCAAAATGTTGAAGTTTAGGGGTCCTGGGGCCCAAAATCACAACATGCAGGTCCTGTCCAAAAGAATTCAACCCAAGCTTTCTTTCAGCCAAAGACAAGGTTTATTAGAACATCCTCATATTGGGCAGACTCTTAAGGAATCTAAGCATACATTAGTAATGCAAGCGGGCCAGATTTTAAGAATCTGAGCCAGTCTGTATTTATTTTGACTACCTGATACCTTGAGTAATATATCATCTAGTCTTGAGGCTCTTTTATCCATGGTAGACAATGGTAAAAATCAAATGTATTTCTAGCTCATAATGAAAATCATGTCTCCTTCCCTAGGAGTATAGGTTATCTATCCTGCCCACTTAAGTGTTATTGCTGACTCTAACTGTCTGGGATCTAGAGTCTGCAAATCTGTCAGTCAGTCAACTGATGTGCAATTAACATTTTAAAGTATCTACTATGTGCTAGGAAAAACTAAGCATTGCTCAGACTTCTAGAACTTGCTGCTCAATACCTTGATGGACCTTACCCTTCTGCTTATTTGAACTGCTGGTCCTTAGCCTTCTTGGTCAGCCCTGTCCTTATTCCACTCATGCTCCAAAATGGTATCTTCACAGGTATATAGTTTGTCTCATATGAAGCCCGTGAATGATTTTGTTCAACCTGTCATATGCCCCCCAAAAAACTACACCAAAAAGTCATTTTGAGGTACATCTACTATTTTGCTGAAAAAATGGGGCCATTTGCCAAGAGCTCCCTCTTCTCCCCTCTTCATCTCATATCACTAAGAAGACTTCTGCCATTATCTCCTCCTTTACACCCTGTCTCACATAAAGTGACCCTTCTCTTTGCCAAGGCAATCCCCTCTATCTGTACATGTGATCCCATTCTATTCTATCTTCTCCAACAGACTATTCCCTTTATTATCACTTCAATTTCTCCCTGTCTACTGGCTTCTTCACTATTGCCTATAGACATGCCCATTCCTCTTCCATCCTCAAGAAATCCTCATTTGATCCATTCATCTTATTATCCTTTATCTCTCCTGTCTTTTGTTTCCAAACTCCTTGAGAAGGCCATCTAAAATTAATGCCTTTGCTTCCTCTCTTCTCACCCTTCTTAATTCTACACTGATTTCCAACATCATTTTGAATTGAAACTGCTTTCTCCAAATTTATCAATGACTGCTTAATTGCCAAGTTCAATGGCTTTTTCTCAGTCTTCAACCATCTTGACCTCTCTACAGCCTCTGACACTGTCAATCACCCTTTTTTCCTTAATACTATCTTCTCTCTAGATTGTTGGGACCCCATTTTCTCCTGCTTCTCCTCCTATCTGATCATTCCTTCATTGTCTCCTTTGCTGGATCTTCATCTAGGTCATGCTCACAAACTCTAGATATCCCAGAGGGTTCTGTCCTGGGCCCTTTTTTCTTCTCCTTCTATATTATTTCACTTGGTGATCTCATCAGCTCTCACAGATTGAATTATCATCTCTCTGCTAATGAATTTCAAATCTACTTATCTAGCTCTAACTTTTCTATTGACTTCTTGAACTGGATGTCTTGTAAACATCTCAAACCCAACATGTTCAAACTGAATTCTTTATCTTTCCTCCCAAACCCTCTCTGTTTCTCAAACTTCCATATGATGGTTGAGGGCACCATCATCCTATCAGGACCCCAGGCTCACAACCTAGGTGTCATCCTTAACTCTTTCATATCCCCTATCCAGTCTATTGCCAATACCTATCTATTCAGTCTTCATAACATCCTTTGAATATGTCCCCTTCTCTCCTCTAATACTGCCACCACTTAATGCAGGTCCTCATCATCTAATGCCAGGATTATTGCAATAGCTTACTGCCTGCTTCAAGTCTCTCTCCAGTGCATTCCATCCTGCACTTAGCCACCAGTGAGTTTCATAAAGTGCAGGTCTGACCAAGTCACGTTATACCCCTGTCCCCCAGGCCCACTCGTTAAATTTTAACAGCTCCCTATCACCTCCAGGATCAAAAATAAAATCTTCAAAGTCCTTCATAAATTAGCCCCTCTCCCACTTGATATTCTTATACCTTATGTGCCCCACCCCTACTCTTTGCTAGTTCTTGAATAAGACATTACCCCCATACTCTAGGTATTTTCCTGGTTGTTCCTCATGAATGGAATGTTTCCCCTCACCTCCTGGCTTCCTTCAAGTGCCAGCTAAAATCATGTGCCTTCTATAGGAAACCTTTCCCAATTCCTCTTAATTCTAATGCCTTCTTCTTAAAGGATAAGGATTCTTATCCTTATATATAGTTTATACATAGTTTGCTTGTTGTCCACTCCATTAGGAGTGGACAAAGACTATCTATTGTCTTTCTTTGATACATCCTGAGCACTTAGCACAGTGCCTGGAACATAGTAGGTGCTTAATACATGTTCATTGCCTGACTGACTTTCCCTTAGAAACTTATGAAGAATTTGTTTTTCTGAACCTTTAACACATTACTTGAAATTTGGGGCCAGGTATTAAGCTCCATTTTCTGCATCATATCTAGAAATGAACAGGTAGCATGGCAGAGTCTACATTAAATTTAGGATTCAAGTTCTAGCCATGACCCTAAATAGGTACTAGGAAAAGACTGCTTTACATTATTTCAGATGTGTTGCAAAGAAGACTCAGTGCCTACATGCAGAGAAAAGGATGTGTTTATAAAAGGAAACAAGACTAAATATCAGTTTTTCCCCTTCACAGAATAGTGAATACAGAAACAGTGGAGTGTTGAGAATATACACCTACTTTTTCATGGAGTTCCCCTTCTACTAAAAATGAGACATTAATTGATCAAGATCATTTAATTTTTTATTAACATCATTATATTATTTTTATAATTTAGTATTATAAAACTGCCCAAGGATTTCTGAGGAATTCCTTGAAGTTATTTCAACTCATACCAATAGCAATAATCAATACCATTTATCCATATAAAAAACAAAACATACAACATCTTCTTGTGAAATGTTGACTTTGAATATGTCTTTTTTCCCCTAGTATAAAATATAGAGGTACTTTCTAAAAACTGTGATTAAATTCAAAGCTTGTCAAAATATTTTCTTGTAGTAAAAATAAAATCCTTCCAAAAACTCAAAAGAGAAAAATAAGATTCTATTTTCTCATGTTTCTGTTTACAAAAATAAAAAAAATATATAAATTTTAAAAATTGGGTAAAGGTGAAAAAAGGAATGATCCAAGAGGACCATATTCCTCTGACTGTTTTCCCCAAACTACGCTGGTTTTTCATTCCATATATAAATTTTTTTTTTCCATTCCAGATGGGGAGAAAAGGTGAAACTAGTTGAAACATTTCACATCTCTATAGCTGATTTGACTTCAATGTTTTGAGATGGACTTTTAAAAAATTCTTCTCAAATCCCTGATATTAGACCTGTTACAAATGTGCTATGTTATCTTCAGACATTCTGGATTGTTCATGACTTGACAGCTTGGGGTATCCATGTCCCTCCAGAAGCTGGTTTTTCCCAAGGTCATTTTAAGCCAGGTACATAGGGTTAATGGTGGGTCATTGTTCCATCTGACAAAGTCTCCACCTGGTGAAAATACACTGTGCATGCTTTAAGAAAGAAGCAGACCCCAGTTATACCTCTCCCACAATAGGATGAGCTCACTGCTGCCTGGCTTGACAGAGACTTCCTGGAAAGCCAAATCGAACTGTGTCATTGAGCCAGATTCTGAAAGGGCTATATTCTCTATGACTTAATTCTTTTCTTTAGAAGAAGATGGGCTCATATTAACCTCACAAGAGGTAGAAATATTCTTCTGATTTTGAACATCTTTAAAGACTTTTTCAGGTGTGGTGTCCTCTGGAGTTGAACCAAGGCTATGTAGAACCAGTAGACTATCTAAGTTTGGAGACTGAGGTGGGATGTCTATGACTGAGAAGGGCTCCAAATTAAGAGACTCTGCAGAGGAGGAAGTATTCTGTTCTGATGATAAAAGAAAATTGTGAGTAGCTTACAGTTCAGATTACAAATATGTGAAATTCTCAAAGTTTTAAACATATACACATTTACAAACAAAACTTTTATTAAATCATCTACTTAAGTTTCTAATTGTCCAGTCAACCATCCACCCACAAATTAACATGTATACTAAATAGCCACATAATGATGATATTCATGTAGAAATTACCTTAACATTCCATTATGTGCATGGATTATAATTTGTTTAGTCATTCTCCAGCTGATAGGCACCCAATTGGTTTCTAGTTCTTTGCAACCAAAAAAATTGTTGACATGAATGTTCTAGCGTGTATGTGTGTCCTTTCCTTTTGTCTTTGGGTTATATACATCTGAACACAGCCAGATTTCTGGGTCAAAAGGAATAGCCATTTTAGTCACATTTTTGCATAATTCCAAATTGCTCTCTAGAGTAGCTGGAACAATTTACAAAGCTTTACAGTACATTAGTGTGCTGATCTTTTTACCTCTTCAACATTGACTATTTCCATCTTTTGTCTTCTTTCAATTTATTGGGTATGAGGTATTTTGATTTGCATTTTCTTCATTACTAGTGATTTAGGGAAACCTCTCATATGGCTGTTAAGTTTGTGATTCTTTTGAGAACTGTTTGTGTCTTTTGATGACTTTTTTGGGTAATGGCTTAGTTGTGTACATTAATGTTAATTTCCTATGTATCTTGGATAGTGTATCTTTACCAGCTATCTTTGATATATAGATTTCCCCCCTATTGACAACTTTCCTTTTTATTCTAGCTGTACTGATTTTGTTTGTACATGTTTTCAACTTCATGTGATCAAAATTGTCTCTTTTACCTTTTATCATCTCTCCTCTCCTCTCTTTGGTTGAGAATTATCCCCTAGCCACAGCTGTGAAAGACTCCTTTATGTAATCACTCAATCACTAAGTATTTATTAAATGCTTCTGATGTACTGTGGTATTTTATTTTTTTTAGTGTAGATTTTGCTATGTGGATACAAAGACGGAATTGAAACATTCTTTGTCTTCAGGAAGCTCATATTCTATCGGGAGAGACTATGAGTACATAAATAAGCATATACAGGATATTCACAAAACGAGTATAGTTAGTTTTAGGTAGGTGGAGACTGCCAGCTGTGAGGGCTCATCAAAGGTTTCATGCAGGAGATGACATCTGAGAGTCTCAAAGCAAATCAGGCATTCCAAGGTTAGGTGAAGAAAGGAATGTATTCCTTGCATGAGGAACAGCTAGTACAAAGTCATAGAGAGAGGAGATAGAGTGTTGTGTTTGAGGAATTGCCAGGGGCAGCTAGGTGGTGCAGTGGATACAGCACCAGTCCTGGAGTCAGGAGGATCTGAGTTCATATCTGTCCTCAGACACATAACACTTATTAGCTGTGTGACTGGGCAAGTCACTTAAGTCCAATTGCCTCACCAAAAAAAAAAAATTGCCAGTAAGCCACTGAGACTGAATTTCAGAGACTGAGGAGAGAATAAAGTGTAAGAAGACTATAGAAGACTTTAAATGCCAAACAGGAGAGTTCATATTTGTTCCTAGAGGTAACTGAAATTTTATTGAGTGGGATGAGGGAGAGAAGATTGTTTAGATTTGTGCTTTGACCTGGTGGCTGTGTGGGGACGGATTTGAGTAGAGAGAGCCTTAAGGATGGCAGACCAAATAGGAGCCTATTGAAACAGTATAGGCAAGCAATGAAGAAATGATGAAGATCTGATCTAGGGTGGTAGCTTTGTGAGTACAGAGACATGAACAGATGTAAGAGACGGTGTGGAGATAGAAATAACAAAATTTGTCATCTGATTAGATTGAAGAGTGAGGGGTCAGGGATGATCCTGAGATGATGAAGCTGATCAAATGTCTGCAGTGCACTTGATAGTAAGAGAGGAGGTCATGCTGTTAATGACTGCAAACTACCTGTTGATAAAGAAACATGCAATTTTCCTCCTTTGCTCTCTTCCTTCTCCTTCCTTGCTTCCAATATAGTTTCTGTTTTTCTCTTTTAAAATTGAAAATTTTTCTTTTTGCCTTCTCTCATAACACAATTCTAAATTCTGGGGTTTTTTTTGAACCCCTTGATAGTAAATTTTGTTCTAACCTATCATTTTCATTTTGTATGTTTTTATTTTTCAGAAGTGTTTCTCATAAATAGCAAATTGTGGTTTTACTTTTTTAAAAAAATCTATTATGCTCTGTTTTATTTTGTTGAACTGATTAGTTCATTCACATTTAAGGTTGTGTTCATATAAGCTTGAGCTTTTCTCCATTTATTTCTTTTATATTGATTTTATTCCTTTCATCCTTTAAGTTAGCATTCTTTCCTTAAGATTATTTTTTTTCCTAGCTTTTTTTTCCTTTTTGGTGGGCAATCAGGGTTAAGTGACTTGCCCAGGGTCACACAGCTAGTAAGTATTGTGTGTCTGAAGCTGGATTTGAACTCAGGTTCTCCTGATTCTAAGGCTGGAGCTCTATCCGCTATGCCACCTAGCTGCCCAGGAGATTACTTTTGCTTATATTATTTTGATAACTGGCCTATTCCATAGCTAGTTCAATGGCGTAATGGATGGAGCTCTGCACGTGGAATCAGGAAGACTTCAGATACTTGCTAGATGTGTGACGCTGAGCGATTCACTTAATTTCTCTCAGCATCAGTTTCCTCATTGTGAAATGGGGATAAGAAAAAGTGCCTACTTTGTGGGATTGTTGTGAGGATCAAATGAGATAGAGCGCCTTATACATCTTAACGTACTATATAAATGCTAGCTATTCTTCTCACAGGTTCTCCTGTCCACCTCCTGTTGCCCTATCCTATCCCAAGCTTCTTGAATTTACATATATATGCACATACACACACACACACACACACACACACACACATATATGTACACACACACAGAGCAGGGTGGCCATTGGCAGGCAAGATCTTAGCTGTGAGTTATGACTGGTATCTTAATACCCTAGAAAAGGAAACAGCCTTCCCCATAGTGAGCTGTGAATTTCTAGAGATTAATTTCCTCTCTGGAGGATCAAAACTAGGTAAATATCAATGTGAATTAACCTTAAAAAGTAAAATTAGTGTTACTAAATGTTTTACCATTTTTTTCTATTGCATCTTCACTCTTTTCTTGTTTTTTCTTCAGGGAGTGATTACTGCATTTATCAGTATTTGCTGCTGTCTATTTTTTTTCAAAAAAAAAGAAGCTTTAAGTTGATTTTAGAGAACATGTCAAGTTGCAAAGCTGTATGCTGGCATAGTTTGCAATTCTGCAAATTTAAAAATGCAATCACAAACTTTAGAATCAAAAAACAAAACCTTATTGTTTTAAGTCATACATGTCAAATTTGTAAATATATATGTGCATATGTACATATGGGTGTATATTTGAGTATATATATATATATATATATATATATATATATATATATATATATATATATATATACACACACACACACACACACACACACATATACATAAAATCTGGCTGATAATTTCCCTGGTGTAGGGTGTCACCAGTGAAGAGCTTGCAATGCTAAGCCTACAGTTTTTGAGCCTTGCCTGAGAAGTCAAGTGACCTGTCCACAAAGACAGTATGTGTGAGAGTCAGACCTTGAACCTGGGTCTTTCAGACTCCAAGGCCAGAGCTCTATTCTCTATGCCACACTATCTCTCAAAGTTTATATAAAGTTATACAAATATTAGCCACTGCTTTGAGTATAGAAACAGTGCTGTGTTTCATCTTTGTAGGCCCAGCATCATCTAGCACAGTGCTTTCTCTGTTCATAGTAACGCCTTAAAAGGATTTCATATTGAATTCCTACCTTCAGTTATTTCCATTTCGCTAAGCACTTCAAGTTTATCATGGGAGATGCATGGGATTTCTTTTCTCTCTTCAGCTTGGGAATGAAACCTAAAACTTAAGCTTTGACTTTTAATCCTGCCTTTCTTGATGCCAGGACCCAGCAAGTACTAGAAGTTCTCCTCATAATCAGTGAAGTGTCGTTCTTACCATTAGAGAGAAGCACATTTGAGACAGATTTTCATTGACTCTTGGACATATTCTTGGATGTCGCAAAGGTGATGTAGCAATAAAAATACTTCTTTGCCTTGATGAACTAAAGTGGAGGGGAAAAGTGTGTCAACCAAAGAAAATAGCATCATTTAATACCTTTTTGTTGTTTTGCTGATTGGTAATGATCATATTTTTTTAGTTAATTTCAAAGATAATGCCTTTTTTCTTAGAAAAAAGCATTTTCGTTTTAATGTTATTAGTCATACACAGGGATAGCCAGCCTCTAATACTAACTGCTCAAAGAGGGCAGCTGCACAGTGTAGTGGACAGAGTGCTGGGCATGTAGTCAGGAAGACTCATCTTCTTGAATTCAAATATGACTTTAGACACTTTCTAGCTGTGTGACTCTGGGCAAGTCCTTTAACACTGTTTGCCTGAGTTTCCTCATCTGTAAAATGAACTGGAGAAGGAAATGGCAAACCAATCTAGTATCTTTGCCATGAAAACCCCCAATGAAATCATAAATAGTTGGACACAACTGAAAGGACTGAACAACTCCAAGCTCAAAGATTTGACCTAGAACTTATGCGTTGTAGGAAGCAATATTTTGTCACTGAAAATATCTATATTTTTATCTGTATCTATATATATATACACGTGTATATACATATATATACATATATACATACGTATATGTGTGTGTATTTTCTAATAACTAGTGTTTTATCCTAACTAGGGGTAAGCTGGTATGTGTTTAGGCAAACAATGTGGCAAAGGAAGGGTAATGTCCTTCCAGAATAAAGGACAATATCTGAATTGAGATTCAAGCAAGTATCCATGGAACAGTCCAACTGGTTCATTACAAGTATTTCTTGGGAGTAACTGAAATCCCAGAAGCTTATGCAGAAGCAGGAAATTGGTTGCAATAGCAGAAATTTAGACTGGGAGCTGAAACCAGATTAGAAGGCAAGTTACAGGGAGTTCCAGGACAAATGGCTGTTTGTCCAACTCAATTTGTTTGCATAATGTCTTCATCTTTTGTGGCACTTGGGTATATTCCCTGATTTTCAACATGTACTGTCTCTTTCCCCCAATTTTCTTATTATGTTGAGGGTACCACTATTTTCCGAGGCATGCAGGTTCAAAATTTTATCTCATCTTTGATACTTCCCTCTCCTTCACTGTTGACTACATCTAATCAGTTGCCAAGACATATTTAGTGCTGTCCTTACCATTAGAGAGAAACAAGTTTATAATACCTATTACTTATGTCCCTTCTTCTCCACTTAATCTGCCACCACTCTAGTTCAGATATTAGTTTTTCTTAATAATAATATCTAGAATACATATATATACCCATACGTGTGTGTGTGTGTGTGTGTGTGTGTGTGTGTGTGTGTGTGTAGTGCTTTAAGGTCTGCAAAATACTTTATAAATATCATCTCATTAAAGAAACACATATAATCTCATTTGATCCTCACAATAGTTAGTCCTGGGAGGTGACTGCTATTATTATACCTATTTTACAGATGAGGAAACTGAGGATAGGACAGGTTAAGTGACTTGCACAGACTCACACAGCTGTCTGAGTAAGGATTTGAACTCAGGTTTTTCTGACTCCAAGTCCAGCTATCTAACCATTGTACTACCTAGCTGCCTTCTTGCTTGAACTTTTTACAAAAGTTTTTTTTTTCTGTCTCAAAGTCCCTCCCCTTTCCAAGTCATCTTTCACATAGCTGCCAAATTAATCTGATGATAAAGGTCTTAAACATATAATTTCCCCATTAAAACCATTCACAAGGTCTCTATTCATCTAGATTAACAAATAGACCCATTAGCCTGACATTTAGGGCCCTCTACAATCTGTTTCCAAGTTATCTTTCCATTGTTTTACACTTACCCTCTTATTCTCTATTTAGAGCCAAACTAGACTGCAAACTGTTCCCTAATCCCATCTTGCCCTTTACTACCTCAGCCTGTCATCCCATGCTTAGAATGCTTTTTCACTTTTGGAAATCCTTCTTGGATATCTCCCTTTAGCAAATTGTCAGGGCACTTTGCCTGGATCTCTCTCTCTCTCTCTCTCTCTCTCTCTCTCTCTCTCTCTCTCTCTCTCTCTCTCTCTCTCTCTCTCTCTCTCTCTTTTTCCCTCTCGACCTCCCTCTCTCTTTCTCTCTTTTGTGCTTCTCATGTTTGACCTTACCATCATACTTATTTCTATACATTTCATAACCCTAGAGGAGCATGTAGAGAAGTAGATACAATCCACTTGGCCTTAGATTCAGAAAGACATGGATTAAAGTTCTTCCTTTAACACAAACTGGCTTTGTGACCCTGGGCAAGTCATTTAACCTCCTCCTGACTTTACCTCTCAGAACTCTAGGTAGTTCTCTAAAGGCATAAGTTGCAGAGAAGGTGCCAATTTTCATTGAAAAGTTTCTTTACCTGGAAGTTCTCTATACCAATGAAAACATAGGTCTAATCCCTGTACTTATCTAGTCCTGTGCCTTTGTGTCTCTTGGTTCAATGGTAAGCTTCTCCAAGAGATGATGTCATTTTTATCTTTGTATTTACCTAGCAGATGTTTGTTGAATTTGAACCTTACGAAAAAACAACGAAATGAACAAAAGAAAACAGTAACGTTGCAAAAAAAAGGGTAGTTGGGGACAGAGACTGGCCTGACTGGGCTAGAGTATGGAGATAATGAGTCACCATTCCAAATCTAAGAGGTAGCACCAGGAGAGGAATAGGAATTAGAAAGATGAAACAGAAAGAGCTCATAGAATTAGACAGAAGATGAAGCTAAGGACAAGACAAAAGTTAAGAACAATATGGTAGATGGAGTAAGGACTGGGAAAGAGTTCCCTGGAGTAGATTAGTCAGACTCAGCAGAAGAATCAGGGCATAATATTCAGGATTCATTAATGCTGGCGGGCTTTTCTGAGGCTAGGACAAGTAGAGATTCTGGGAGAATGAGGAAAGTGACAGCAGTAGAAGACCTAAGGCCAAAAGCATGCATCAAGGGTCAAATAGGGACTAAGCTTCTTCACCCTGGAGCCATGAAAAGTTAGACTTCACGTGTGGTGCCCGAATGGCCTATTGAAATCTCTATGACTCTTAAAAGAATGCAAGGAAGACTTCTAGTATGCTGGGTAAATCTTACACAGAAGGTTTATGGGAAAACATGGCTAATAATTGCATAAGATGAGAAGGCATGGAGTTGTATGGAAAGACAAAGGACTTTTTATGAGTGGTTCCATTGTACTCTGGTGCTTTATAACATAGGTTAAGAGGTTACACAGGTACAAGGAAGCAGGATGATATAGCTGAAAAAGTACTGAATTTGAATTGGGGACTTGGGTATAAATCCTGGTTCTACCACTTACTACCTGTGTGACCTTGGGCAAGTCTTTTCATTCCTCTGGGCTTTATTCAGTTTTCTCAACTATAAAATGATGGGGTTGCAGACAGTGGTGAGCTGGGGCCAGCCTGGCTGTCCAGGGTGGATTGTCCAATTTTCAGCACGAGCATTTACCCTCTGGAAATGGGCAAATGCTACAAACCAGGGAGTGATTAAATGTTTTTGTTGATTTCCAGACTTAAGAAAGTGATGGAGAAAATGTTCATAATGCAGATTAAATTTAAAAGTGTGTCATGAATACAATTTTTTTGGGGGGGAGCGCTAATTGTTTAACATATTAAAATATGTTAAACCTAAAAATCAGCATACTATTGGTTGCAAGAGTTCTTAACCTGTAGTCTGTGGATTAAAAACAGTTTTTTGGGGAAATTATATTTTAATTTCATTGGGTTTCTTTCATAATCCTACATATTTTATTTAATGCATTTAAAAACATTCTGAGATGGGGTCCGTGGGCTTTGCCAGAATGCCAAAGGGGTCACGTAAAAAAAAAAAAAAGATGATCTGGAGATGATCTCCAACGTCTCTTCCAGCTCCAAATTCATGAGCCTATGATTTGAGTACAAATGCCCATACTTTTACTTACTATCTACGTGACCTTGGGCAGGTCACTTAACTCTTCTGGACTTCCATTTCTTCATCTGTAAAATGAGGAAATTAGACTAGGTGACCTCGGAGGTCACTTCCAGTTCTAAGTCTAGGATATGAATCTCTTTCTAGATGTTCTAGAGTTCACCCTGGGGAGCTAAGACTAACATCTGGAATGATTTTTACTATCCTCTTACTGTCAATTCTACCTTACTTGACTCAGTCTGTAGGGCAAGGTTTTATTTGGTCAATGAGATATTGTTATTGGAAGATGTTTCATTTTCATTTTCATGAGACTATTGATCTATGATGCACACTATGTGAGACTTTTAGTCTCATCCCAACAATGATAAATTTTTATTGATGCTTACACTCGGAATTTTGTTAAAAGTAAAATATTAAGGAAAACTTGGAGAAACTGGTATTGTGTTTACTATAGAGTTATGATAGCAAAAACAACAAATCCATAGGCTTTGGAGCAGGGTCTCACAAAAATACACCAGAATAAATTCTTGAAATGATGGGAATAGTCCTACTTAAAGGACCACCAGCCAAAAGACCAAGTGAAATAGCAGAGTGGGTTGATGCTGACAATATTGATGTATATCCCTGTTGCCTAAACTAATGGAAAACTGATAAGTAGGCCAAGCATGATAGTATATAGCACAATTCCTGCTCCCAAGGAGGCTGAGGCTAGTGGATAGCTTCAGCTTAGGAGTTGTGAACTGCAGTGGGCTAAGCTCATCAGTTGTCCTCATTAAGACTGGTACCAGCATGGTGAGCCCTTTGGAATTGGGGGACAGTATGATGCCTGAAGAGGGGTGAAATGGCTAGACCAGAAACAGAGCAGGTTAAAGTTTCAGATACTTATCAGTAGTGGGATTGGTCACATGAGAGGATACTGTACTTCTAGCCTTGGTGAGATAGGGAGACCCTCATCTGGAAAAAAAAAAAGAGCAAACAAAAAACCCCTAAACTGACAAGTGGTTCTTGAGTACATTGCTGCCAGAATAATTTTTCCCAAAACTCCACTTGAATGATGTCATTCTCCTGTTGAAGAATCCATAATGATCACCCAATGCCTACTGTAACAA